CTTGCAACGGCAACGCCACCAAACAATAGAGGAACGGAGGGAAACAAATAAATATTCCACTTGTGCCTTTTCTATTATAAACGTCTCCCAGATCAAAAGTAAACGGCCGCCATGGATGGAAAGCGTATCTCTCCCAGAAACTGCCAGTAGAAGTCTGGCTTTCTGTACAGACCTCCTTGGAAACATGGGTTTACCGTAAATCTCCTAAACCTGGCACTGCTTTATGTGGAGGCAGTTGCTGTATATTCTGAAAGAGCTGGTCACCTCATTTCTAGAAAAACAAGAAAACGCTTGTTGGCAAAGTTAAATTTTAAAAAGCTTTTGTTCATGAGAAACCAGTGCCTGCACATATATACACATCTTCTTTCAGGTAATTCAGGGTCACTACTTAAGTTATTAATGTGAGGGGAAGCATTTTCACCTAAAATGTCTGACCACCGCTATATTGACCCTTGGTCCTTGTGAAATGATCTGTTCTCTCTCTTCTTTTCCAGTACTTGACCTTCTTCCTTCTGGGAGATAGTGGGATTTTCCCAACAAGCCAGAAATAGAGATAAAACTAGGCATATTCCTGCAAAGCAGGCATGACCAACACCCTACCTGACTCATGTGCAGTCTGTGCCTGGCATGGACATATTGGGGGCCTATGAACAGCAGACTGCCCTTCAAGGGCCTCCTCCCCAGCCACCAAGATGTCTAATCACAAGTGCAGAGGGAGGGAGTCGGTGCTGAAATCTGAGGAAGCCAAGAGAAGCAGGAAGTATATGCACTACCTTTCCTTCCATCTCCCATCTGCGGCTGGAGTGGCGGCCCCTGGAATGGAACCAGTCGCTGCAGAGATAGGGAGCAACCAGGGAGTAGGTCACTCAAGGACACAAGACAGAAGCCAGTCTCTGAAGATGGCCTGAGAAAATGAAGCAGCACGCCAAGACACAGCGTGAGAAACCCGCTTCGTGTATCACCTTGTCTATTATTGTCTTGAAGAGCAAATTTATTTAGCTTTTCACGTATGAACACTTTTACTTCAATTTAAATCCCCTTCTTGTGATCAAATTACACAGCTAGTTAGTTTCTGGGTTACTCTTTCTTAGCGCCTAGCAAAGAAGCTTGCACATTATAAATGCCACGTATATTATTGAATCTACTTAATTTAGGGATATCATTCCAAAAACATGCTAAGCAAGATCGAGGAGATAAAAGCTCCATGATTGGGCCAATACCATTATGTTATTACTTTATCACGCATCTTGGTTGAGAAAGTGGGGGTTTATTCATAATTCATAAGATACTCAGAAATGAATGCGTATGCATGCAGATTTCAGAGTTAAGAATGAATTATGGACGTGGCGGTTACAATTACATTCTGACTCTGCAATCACAAATGGTATGGTAATGTAGTAGAACCATATGGCACCAAAGCAAGCTCTTGGTGAATTCAGATTTTTGTTTGGTTTATTTATTTTTTTTAATAAGTCTACTTAATGAAAGAGGAGATTAGGATGGGTAAATACAAAAGAGTGGCACACACACAGCTAAGGAAAATGCCAGAGAATATAAAACAAGCCCTTGTTCTATTTTTTCTTTCCTTATTTTTTATTTGTTTTAGGCCATTTTCAGTTTTCAGACCAAGAAAAAGAAAAAGAAAAAAGACGTGCCCAGTGCTTGAGGCAATGGCAGAAAGCAATATGCCCAACTCTTAATTTTGCTTTTATCTTTTATATTAAGAAGAAAGGTCTTGAACTTGAAAACTAATAGACAAAAAGAGTTAACAGGAAAATGAAGTCCAAGACAAGTAAGGAGACACCTAAATGGTTCCTTTTATATGAGCTCAAGTATTCTGGCCTACATAAATTACATTTCAGGACTCTGACACAATTTAATGATGTGACTGCAAATCAGGTGGGAATCTCTGAGAAACTAGGGAGAATGATAGAGGACAGTGGTCTAGTCCCTTTGTGTTGCTATAAAGGAATACCTGAGGCTGGGTAATTTATAAAGAAAAGAAGTTGATTTGTCTTATGGTTATGCAGGCTGTACAAGATTCATAACAGATCCACCCCCATCATCCAAAAGCCTCCCACCTGGCTTCACCTCCAACATGTGAGATCAAATTTTCAAATTTCTGTTTCTTTTTTGAGACATAGTCTCGCTCTGTCGCCCAGGCTGGTGTACAGTAGCGATCTCGGCTCACTGCAACCTCTGATTGTTCCAGTGATTCTTCTGCCTTAGTCTCCCAAGTAGCTGGGACTACAGGTGTGCGCCACCACATCCAGCTAATTTTTGTATTTTTAGTAGAGATGGGTTTCACCATATTGGCCAGGCTGGTCTCAAACTCCTGACCTCGTGATCTGCCCGGCTCGGCCTCCCAAAGTGCTGGGATTACAGGCGTGAGCCACTGCACTCGGCCCCGGGAGATCAAATTTCTACGTAAGATTTGGAGGGGACAAATAAACAAACTGCATCAAATGAAGGCAGGCAAAATTATCTTGATGTGTTTAAAAGAAAAATAAGATCGATTCTGGAAACAACAGACTTGTAAACGTGGTATTAACCCACAACAGAATTCTAAAGTGGTTTATCAAATATTTTGTGAGCATTTAGAAAAGAAAATGACCAAGCACCAACAACCAGTAGGGGTTCAGTAAAACGAAGCAGTCGAAGCTGATCTCAATTTGTCTTTTGAGATCATTATTAGACAGGTAGATCAAAGAAATTCAGTCATAGCTTTTTTTTTTTTTTTTTTTTTTTTGAGATGAAATTTTGCTCTGTCACTCAGGCTGGAGTGCAGTGGCATGATCTTGGCTCACTTAAACCGCTACCTTCTGGGTTCAAGTGATTCTCCTGCCTTAGCCTTCCAGGTAGCTGGGATTACAGGCACGCACCACCATGCCTGGCTGATTTTTGTATTTCTAGTAGAGTCAAGAGTTTCACCATGTTGGCCAGGCTGGTCTCGAACTCCTGACCTCAAGTGATCCACCTGCCTTGGCCTCAGAAAGTGCAGGGATTATAGGCATGAGCCATCATGCCCTGCCTAAAACAAGCCCTTGTTCTGTTTTCTTTCCTTATTTTTTATGTTTTAGGCAATTTTCAGTTTTCAGACCAAAACTTGATTTCTGCCACTGAAAACGGCTTTCATCATGATCAGTGGATAAAGGTGAAAAGAGTGGGGGCTAACATTATTGCAGTTACACCCATGCATATATATATATATTTTTTTTTTTTTGAGACGGAGTCTCACACTGTCGCCCAGGCTGTAGTACAATGGCGCAATCTCGGCTCACTACAATCTCTACCTCCTGGGTTCAAGCAATTCTCTGGCCTCGGCCTCCCGAGTACCTGGGACTGCAGGCGTGCACCACCACACCCAGCTAATTTTTTTGTATTTTTAGTAGAAATGGAGTTTCACCATGTTGGCCAGGATGGTTTCGATCTCCTGACCTCGTGATCTGTCCACTTCGGCCTCCCAAAGTACTGGGATTACAAGCGTGAGCGACCACACCCAGCCCACGCATACATAATTTGTATATAACTAAACCTAGAAGCTATTGACTGAGTGTCACAAGATTCTAGATTTGGTCCTACACTTGTCAATATATTTATCAAGGATAAGACTTAAGAAAAAAGCACTGGTCGGGTGCGGTGGTTCACACCTATAATCCCAGCACTTTGGGAGCCCAAGGCATGCAGATCACGAGGTCAGGAGATCGAGACCAGCCTGGCCAACATTGTGAAACCCTGTATCTACTAAAAATACAAATATTAGCCAGGCATGGTGGCACACGCCTGTAATCCCAGCTACTCAGGAGGTATATCTGACATAGCATATCAAAGATCACTTGAACCCGGGGGTGGAGGTTGCAGTGAGCCAAGATCGTGCCACTGCACTCCAGCCTGGTGACAGAGCGAGGCTCCATCTCAAAAAAAAAAAAAGAAGAAGAAGAAGAAAGGGTTACCAATTGTGCAGGTGACACTAAGCTAGGAAGGAGAGGGAATATACTGGATGAGGAAAAATGAATTGAAAGTATCTCAGCATGAAGCAATCATGTAATGAAATTAAAGTAAAATCATTTTAAATCTCACACTGTATATATCCTTAGACACAAATATAGATACAAGTCATGTTATTCTGAAGTAAAATACTCTTGAGACAGGCCAATCAGACTGATTGAAGAAAAAGAGATTTGCCTTGACAGAGGTCACAGGAACTGACTCAAAAGTTATATATCTGGTGAATCCCACCAGAGACTTCAGGTTATAGCCTTGGAAACCCATTTAAAGACAGTTTGCCATTTGCTTAAAGGCTTGATGAATGCTTGTGATTAATCTTAGGAAGCTTATCTGTCAAAAGAAGATGAAATAATCAGAGGCAAAGGACTGAGAACCATAAAGGAAGGTGAGAAATTTAACATGAAAACAAGAACATCAGGGGTGTGGGGTTACGTGAGTTCTCGAAGAACCATTCTTTGAATGAGAAATCAGACAAGTCCACATACTCCGGGTTACTTTAGAGGAGTAGGGCCCCTTCCCAGAGGTCACAGGGACTAAGACTCTATTAAGACATTTCTTCTAATCCTTGCTGTCCCAAAATAGAAAGCGCTGCTGTGGGAGGTACTGGGGCAGTGAGGCAGTGAGTCAGTGCATGGCAGCACCGGCCGAGTCAGATGTTGTGTGTGGATTTGCAAACTCAAAGACGTGGGTTTCAGATGCTCTATTTCTCTGCTATGCACATTATTCCCTTATATACAATGTCCATGATCTAATAAGGAAGGCAATATGATGTGGTGCTTAAAAATCCAGTGTCATTCTACCCAGATTTGAATCTCAGCTCGGCTACTCACTGACCACGTGTCCAGAGTGACCATGAACAAGTTAGCTAACTGCCCTGGACCATGGTTTCTCCATCTCCAAAATAAGGATGATATAAGCATCTACCCCATGAGTCTTCTGTGATGATGAAGTGAGTTAATGTGCAGGAAGCACAAGGAACAGTGTCTGGCACATAGGAAATACCCAAGTTTGCAATTTATTATGATAACTCTACAATCTTCTCAGCCACTCTGAAGATTCCTGGTCATCCATTCTGGGCACAATGTGACATTTACCTGAGCAGACAGGAGAATGGTACTAGGAGATGAGGGAGACTTGGTGCCTAAGATTACTACAAACAGGCCAGGCGTGGCTCACACCTGTAATCCCAGCACTTTGGGAGGCTGAGGAGGGTGAATCACGAGGTCAGGAGTTCAAGACCAGCCTGGCCAACATGGTGAAACCCTGTCTCTACTAAAAATACAAAAAAATAGCTGGGCATGGTGGCAGGCGCCTGTAATCCCAGCTACCTGGGAGGCTGAGACAGAAGAATCACTTGAACTTGGGAGGTGGAGGTTGCAGTGAGCCGAGATCACACCACTGCACTCCAGCACAGGCAACAGTGAGAGACTCTCTCAATAAAAAGAAAAAAACACAATTACTACAAACACATAAAGAACAGCACCGTATGGAGCAAAAGAGAGCAGCTGGAAAATCTCGTTCAGAGATGCATAGGATTTCAAAAGCCTGCTGCCATTGGCAGTTATTTCTGCCCACAAATCACCCTAATATGCAAATGCCATCACCATGGCTAGCAAAGGCCTGGCATATGGTTCCTGTAGGCTAGGAAGCAGTCTCCACCAAGGACGGTGCTGGCTTCTCGGGTTCCTCTCCCAGATCCACAATCCGGATGGTGTTTTCCTTCCTGGAAAGCCAGAAGGCAGCATAGACTGGCTCTGAAAACTTGCAGGCGAACTTGTGAACCAGAGTCATGGCATCATACTCTATGCCATAGAAGGAAAGGATCCCTCCTGGGAAGTCGACATAGACCCCGAGCCTCCGGAAAGGGCCGGATTTGAGCGGGGTCTCCATGTCACTGTGCCAGGCCGTGAACTCCTTCCCATTCCATTGGAGGCTCCAGGAGAAGTTGTTCCCGGAAATGCAACTGTTGCGCTCCTCCCCTTTCCTGTCGATGCCTTTGCAGGTCAGGCCAACATAGGTGCCTGCCCCGAAGATCTCCACCTCAAAATAGTACCTGTGTAGGTACAGACTCTGCTGGGACAGCACCTGCCGCCAGTGCAGGAACCTGCTGGGGAGGTCCGGGTAGGGGTGCTCCCAGGGTGTGGTGTTGGTGACTTTGCGGTTGTCCTCCTGCAGCCGGAGATACCTGTGTGCCGTGTCCGGGTCGAACGTGATGTCGTGTGCATCTGGGGAGACACAGAGGGCAGAAGAATGGTTCAGGAATTGACAGCTGATTCAGACAGAACACTTTAAACCCAGCTAGGCTCCAAAGCACATATAAGAAAGCATCCATTTCTCTGTTCTCTGTTTACCCAGGCTATTTCCCTAGGAAAAGAGCTGAGTGGTCCTAATCTCATTAATATATTTATCAACAAGGATAATACTTAAGAAAGTCTTATGAAGATTCCCCTTATGAAGCTCAAATTGCTTGACATTGATGATATCATTTGATGAACTGAATCAAGGAATAGATTATTTTACTCGTTCATTCAGTCAACAAACATGTATTTAAAGTATTTGAGGAAGCAGGTACTCTTATACCCACATTTGATCCATTCATTCATTTTTTAAAAATATTTGACCAATATCTTAAAAGTGAACCAATGGATCAAATGGAGCATGATGGATGAACTCTCAAACATGCCCTCATATTCCCCTCCCAATCCCAAAGAATAAAAGTACCTCATGCACCCCATTGCTCAAGTCAAGCTCTGTGTCATTTTTGACATTTGTTTTGCCCTCATTCTCATCCCCCATCCTCACCACACACACAGGCACCTAAGCCATCACTCATCTCACTTGGACTAGTGCAATGTGTTCCTGACTGGTCATTCATTGCTCTCTCTTGCCTCCTTGAAGACCTTCTCCACAACAGATCCATGCTGCTTGTTTCAAGCTGTAGGCTAAGGCCAGCCATGTTGTTCTAGCTTAAAACCCTTTCATGGTGCCCTCTGCTCTTACGATAAAGCAGTGACCCCTTGCCCTGGCCTACCAGGTGTCACATACCCAGTCCTTTCCTGTGTCTCTGATGCTCTCCCTTGATTACTACATTCCCGCCATGCTGACCTCAGACCTACTCAGCAATCAATACCCGCTTTGGGCTTTAGGCACAGCCTGTTCCCTCTGAGACATGATCATGCCCTACTCTAAGTCTGGTGATTCCTACTGATCTGTTCAGGCTGCAACTGAGAGTTCATGTCCTTGAAGAGGCCCTCTGTGACTCTTAATCACTTTCTCTCAGAGCACCATGGCTTTTTAAACTTGGCACCCCTCCCCATTTATAACAGTATATTCGTGTGAGTGTTTGTTTCCTGCTTGTCCTCCCTCTAATCTAGGAGCTTCACATTTTGCAGGAGATTCTTCTCTAGCTCAGAGAAGATACTCAGTATATATTTACCAAATGAATTAGCACATTAAAGACTATTTAAAAATCCCATAATTGGCTGGGTGTGGTGGCTGATGCCTGTAATCCCAGCACTTTGGGAGGCCGAGGCAGGTGGATCACGAGGTCAAGAGATTGAGACCATCCTGGCCAACATGGTGAAACTCCGTCTCTGCTAAAAATACAAAAAATTAACTGAGCATAGTGGCACGCACCTGTAGCCCCAGCTACTTGGGAGGCTGAGGCAGGAGAATCACTTGAACCAGGGAGGCAGAGGTTGCAGTGAGCCAAGATCACGCTACTGCACTCCAGCCTGGGCAACAGAAAAAAAAATCCCATAATTTAAAAAGTTCTTGGGCCGGGCGCGGTGGCTCAAGCCTGTAATACCAGCATTTTGGGAGGCCGAGGCGGGTGGATCACGAGGTCAAGAGATCGAGACCATCCTGGTCAACAAGGTGAAACCCTGTCTCTACTAAAAATAAAAAAAATTAGCTGGGCATGGTGGTGCGCACCTGTAATCCCAGCTACTCAGGAGGTTGAGGCAGGAGAATTGCCTGAACCCAGGAGGCGGAGGTTGCGGTGAGCCGAGATCGCCATTGCACTCCAGCCTGGGTAACAAGAGCGAAACTCCATCTCAAATTTAAAAAAAAAGTTCTTGCTGGATACAGAGGCTCATGTCAACACTTTGGGAAGCTGAGAATAGAGAATCACTTGAGGCCAACAGTTTGAGACCAGCCTGGGCAACATAGCAAGCCTCCATCTCTACAATTGTTAAAAAAAATTTTTTTTTTTTAATTAGCCAGAGGTGGTGGCATGTGCTTGTGGTCCCAGCTACTCAGGAGACTGAGAGAGGAGGATTGCTCGAGCATGGGAGCCATGCTGGAGCCACTGCACTCCAACCTGGGGTGCAGATGGAGACCCTATCTCAAAAAATATACATACATACATATATATATGTCTACATGTTTATATATGTAAACATACAAAACATGTTTTAAGTGACTGTTTATGTCAATTAACAGAAAGCTATCACTAATTAAGTTCTTGAGGAATCAAAAGCTACACATGGATTTTCAACTATATGAGGGATTGGTATCCCAACCCCCACGTTGTTCAAGGGTCAACTGTACAGTTGCATTTTAAAAATTTTAATGGACCAAGTCAATACCACTTAGAGACAGGTTAATGAGTTATGCAATTCTGGCCACGCCATACATAGAAATGAACCACTTGGTAACTAGCCAGGAATCTTCAAAGTGCTATAGTCATGAAAGACAAAGACTGAAAGACTGATCCAGATTGAAGAGGACTAAGGAGACATGGAAACATCTGTGATCTTGGTTTGGACTTTGGGCCAGAAAAAAGGGCATTGATGAAACAGTTGGTGAAAGCTGAATAAATCCTGTAGATTAGTTGATAGCATTGCAGCGATGTTAATTCCCTAGTTTTGATCAATGTATTGTACTTATGTAAAGTGTTCACATTAGGAAAAACTGAGTGAAAGATATATGGGAATTCTTTGTCCTATTTCTGTAATATTTGTGTAAGTTTCATATTATTTCAAAACGAAAAGTTAAAAAAATGGTTATTAAATTTTAAGAAGTATATCATTTAGGGATAGACATGAAGTTGCAAGAATCTGAAACCCATATGAGAGATGGAAGTTCTTACTTTGCAAAGCGCTGCACTGATATCGACAACTGGAGAAGGGGATGTGTTCACAACTTACATTGGAGGAACTGTTCCCTGGTGCTGGGCTCAGGTTTTGAAGTCCAGTATTTGCGCTGAACAACAGCAGACACTTGAGTTCTGATGTCATACTCCTCTAGAAAATCAGAGAGTTGTGAATTCACACCTGTGCAGGTGGTCAGGGGAATCTGTGAATCAGGACTTCCCAGCCACCCTTCCCTGGGCTTCCTGGGGAAAGAAGGAGCTGAAGCCTAGTAACATCTCACAGAAATATGCTCAATAGACTACAGTCCTTTCATAGGTAAGGCAGAAACCACTGAAAAAGTGATCCAGATTGTCTTGGATTTAACTTAAAAGTACAGGCAACAGCAACCTGAGAAGTTAGTCATAGAAATGCCAGCCAATGGCATAATATAAGCATGACTAACTGACCTTCTCTGGGTCTCAACTGTAGAATAAAACCATCAAGAACAGAGTCCATGAGTAACACAGTCTGTCGGAAGGATGGCTTTGAAAATGAGACATTACGCTGGGCGGGTGGATCATGCCTGTAATCCCAGCACTTTGGGAGGCTGAGGCGGACAGATTATTTGAGGTCAGGAGTTTGAGACCAGCCTGGCCAACATGATGAAACCCCATCTTTACTGTATCTACTAAAAATACGAAAATCAGCCGGGCATGGTGACAGGTGCCTGCAATCCCAGCTACTAGGGAGGCTGAGGCAGAAGAATCTCTTGAACCTGGGAGGTGGAGGTTGCAGTGAGCCAAAATCGTGACACTGCTCTCCTGCCTGGGCAACAGAGTGAGACTTTGTCTCAATTAAAAAAAAAAAGAAAAAAGAAAAAAGAAAATGAGATGGTCACCCTGATTTCATCCTCCCTTCCCTGTCTCTCACCTTCCTATCATGTACTGCTAGAGACATACCCGCCATAGCCCATGGCCCAGATAGCATCTCACCTTCCTTGGCAAACTCCTGGAGCTTTTCCTTATAGTCCTCCAACAACTGGATTAAGTGTACAGTGGAGTCCGTGATGACTTTGCGGATGCCCGAGAGTTTATCCTTCAGCCCTATGTAAACACTAGGGAAGGTGATGTCTTCAGTATTCTTAAACTTGCAGTATTCCTGCAGAAAAGAAAACAGCAGAACTTGCTGTGGTTTCTGTATTCTAAAATCACATTTCTCTCTTCATTAAGTCACTTTTCGCATCTGTAAAATGGGCTGACAGTACTGTGTCCTTCACAAAGAAAGTACATGTAAAATTTCAAGCTCAGGGTCTAACAAAATATAAAGCACTTTTCTAATGTTGCAGAATATTCAGGAGAGACCAATGGGTGAAACAGGAGGATTTTATTGAGGCGGCCACTGGCTCAGCAGATTAGCATCCCAAGGCTGAGCAAAGGAGAAGGAAAACGGGGTATTTTTTAGACATTCAAGATGAGGAGTGCCTGTAATCCCAGCTACTCAGGAGGCTGAGGCAGGAGAATTGCCTGAACCCAGGAGGCGGAGGTTGCGGCGAGCCGAGATCGCGCCATTGCACTCCAGCCTGGGTAACATGAGTGAAACTCCGTCTCAAAAAAAAAAAAAAAATAGATGAGGTAGCAGCTAACAGGTTTCCAGAAGCCAGAACAAAGAAGAGTTAATTAATTTGCAACATGTTGTGATGTACTTTACATTTGAAAAGTGGCATTTTGAGAAACACATTGTACATTTTTTGGATGTTATCTTGCCCTGTGACCTTGCACCTGGTCAACAAGAAAAACAAGAGTCTTGAGATGCCTGAGAACTTTGCTGAGAATGTGAGAAGAATAAATAAGGTAAGTTTTACAGGGAGTTAGTTCATTTTACGCACAGCTAGGGGTTAAGTTTTATATTAAACAGCATACAACACAGCAAAATTTATTATATAGCAACTATAAATTATAAGGTTTTGTTTTTACTATTATTGCTATTATTTCCCTTCTTCACTAGCTGTTAGGCCCTCAAAATAAGTGGGATTTTAAAAAATCAAGTGAGAAAGTGGGTTTTTAAAAATCAAGATGTATTAGATGGACATGAACAGCTCCAATACACAGTGCAGACTGGAGACCAAAAACAAAAAATAAAGAACATTCTTGCTTTGTTCATTCCCTCAGTACTTGTTTTTTTGACAATTTTTAAACACAAGCCATGGTAGGAAATGGAGGAGCTCTCAGGCAGCAGTGCTACCTCTTCCTTGTCAATTTCATCCAATGCATAAATTTCTGTAATGCCTATACCTTGCTTTCGCATTTACAAAGTGTTTTCAGACAAATAATTATAGTTTCACTTAAGTTTCAAAACAATGTGTTATCAGGAAGGATGCTTTCAGATGTAACACAGTATCAAACTTCAGCTGCAACTGAAGCATTAAAGAGCAGAGCAGGTATAGCAGAACACATAGCAAAACCATAGCAATTAAAACCGTTGTATGAAAATGATTAGATAGGGCCATGGAAATAAAAATCAGAGAATTGATAGAGAAAGGGTGATTCAATATTTTAATGCTATATTCTGTACATGACAAAAGTAGCATTTATAATCAGTGGGAGAAAGGATGAGTTATTCAATAAATGTTGTTTTGAATGCCTAACCAACAATTTGGGAGGAAATGTTATCGTTCACCAAAATAAATAAATAAGTTATCTTACTCTAAAATTTATTTTATATGTATTAAAGTCTTTTATGTTAAAGATAAAGTTACAAAAGGAGAAAAGAGAACAAAGAAAAATAATTTATATACTTTTTTTTTTTTTGAGACAGAGTCTTGCTCTGTTGCCAGGCGCCAGGCTGGAGTGCAGTGGCACGATCTTGGCCCACTGCAACCTCTGCCTCCTGGGTTCAAGCAATTCTCCTGTCTCAGCCTCCCGAGTAGCTGGGACTACAGGCATATGCCACCATGCTCAGCTAATTTTTGTATTTTTTGTAGAGACAGGTTTTTGCCATGTTGGCCAGGATGGTCTCGAACTCCTGACCTCATGATCCACCCGCCTCAGCCTCCCAAAGTGATGGGATTACAGGTGTGAGCCACTGCGCCCGGTCAATTTATACACTTTTTGGGTAGGAGATCTGGGGGGAAACTTGTGAGGCAGAAAGCCAAATGCTTATTCATATTTTCTGTTTTGATATTGAAAAGCACAGAAAGAGAGACACTGTTGGTGTTTTTGTCTTTCTCAGCTTCTCTTTTACTCATTCAGAAGTTAACTATGTTGCATTTGTGTATTGGGATTATGGATAATTTTTTTCCCTCTTTTTTTGTATTTTCCAAGTTTTTTAACAACAAACATTTATATTTTGTAACTAGCAGAGAATTTTTTTTTAATGCCAGCAAGAAAAAAATCATATTTCAGAATACTGGAGCTTGGATGGAACCTTCTGAATTATTTACTTCAGTGGGCTTGTAGATAAATGGGAAATTTGAGACCCAGAGAGGTTAAGAGCAGAGCTGTTTAGTGACAGATGTAGGAGGATGGTGTTTACCCCCAACCTAGTGTTCCTTCCCTGAAAGGTTACATGTTCTTCAGATCAGGCTCCAGTGGCTAGCAGTTTAATGTCTATTGATACATTGTAATGAAAAGCATTTCCTCTTCCCAGCCTTCTTAGTACTCCAGCCACAGCCCTCTCTGAAAAGCAGCAGGGCTCCAGTGTTATCCCTACCAAGCAAACCTCCATGCAGCAGACTGCTGGAGTGGTTTATAAAATATACTCATTGACTCTCATCACTCTCCCATCTGAAGTCCTTCCCTGCCAGACACCTGCCTGGCCATGCCAGCCTCATCACTCTGCACCCAGCATTCCAGACTCCACCCTTGTTAAAGTACCTTGCCTCCCCAAGTCAGCTGTGCTTCCTCAAACCTCTCTGCCTTTGCGTACATTGTTCCTTCTACCTGGAACATACTGCATATTGAACCCACTGATCTTCCAGGACCTGCTTCAAGCTTCCCTGCTCTGAGCAGTCCTCCCTCCCTACCCCTCCTATATTCTACTGAATGAAGAATCTGCTTCTGTCTGTTCCACAGCTTCCTATGCACACCATTTATCAAAAGACAGTTCCATTCATAGATGGCCATGGGCCTGGCACAGCAAGGGCACTCTGAGGTGCAGCTGTGGGATGCCTCTGCCCCCTCACCCCCCATACCTCCAGGAACTGGACAGTGTTGCTGATGGCTGCCATCCTCTCCAGCTCTTGCTTGCTTTTCTCCATCTCGGCACTCCTGTACTCCAGGTGGGTCTTGATGCCATTGGCCTGGTTCAGAGCAGCGTGCTCCTTCTCCTCCAAAAAGAGCATCACATTGGCCTGGGCCTTCCTCACAGCAGCAAGGAGTTCCCCAAACTGCATCTCAGTCACTGCTTTGACCTCTGACACCGACACCTGGTTGGGGGACAGGGATTGAAGGCAGCCAAGCACCTGTTAGTAAGGTGTCCAACTTTACAGAAGCTCAACATAAAGAAATGTCAGCTTGAGAAACCCAAATATTAGGGAGTAGTTTTCTATTGTAAAAGGAATCCTTTATTCTCATGTGAATTCCAGGTTTCTGGAAAAAGGATTTACTTACTAACTTGGTCTCCTCATCCAATTGATGAGAAAGTGAACCCCTCTATGACTTCTGAGCTCCCTCACAGCCCTGACACTCTGACTGTTAATCAAGTTTCCGAAATTGATTTTCCTACCAGAGCAATGCATGTGTTCAGTCTACTTGATAGTTATATTTCAAGAGGTAAAGAATTTGGCTTTTTTTATACAATCAGTAGCATGAATTAGCTTTCTTAGCATTTCATTATGCCTAGTCAAACTGACCACTGAGTCCATCAGAGGCAAATGCATGTCTAAGACGATACTGTCTCTACCACATGCAGAATTCTCGTAAAATGTTTAGAGTGTGTGTAGATGTCCACAGCACCAAGCAACTGCAGGACAAGCGTATTATGTGCAGAACAGAATGTGACATTCAAATAAAATACAAAAGAAAACCCATGTGAGAAACACTAAGGGTTTGAATGATGGAGCACATGCATGTGGACACTTCCGCATGGTCAGCATCCTCTATGAATGCCTTCAATCAATATCATGTTTACAACATCCTTCCAAGTTCTGAAGGTTTCCATTTCTCTGGTATTCTTAGGAATTGGTGCAGACAGCTCAAACTGATATTGTCATAACATCTACACTAATTACCTATATTTTAAATAGAAGTCTTGCATAATATTTCCCTTGCTCAGACTCCCTTCACTACCCCATCTCACAGCCCAAAGCCCATTCTCTGCCTGCCTCAGTCTACCTCATTGTCCCCACCCAGACCTATCTCATCTGAGACTTTCTGAGCACCCCTCCAGGTGCTGTTTTCTCTTTCTCCTCCCAAGGTTAAGGGCCAGCTCTGTACATCAGGGCTCCAAAATGAGTCAGAAGAGCAGACATCCTTGGGCAGAGGCTTCAGGGGCACCTCTCACCCCTGGCAAGAAAGGAGAGAGGGAGAGAGGGCGGGAGAATGAGACTCAGATCAAAAAGGGGCGCACAGTAGGGAGAGGACTCAGAAAGGATGGGACTGTGGGCCCAGGCCAGGTGGGAGCCTAGAGGTTTGAAGGGAGATGGGAAGGAAAAATGACACCAGATAGGAGGTCTTCTGCCTGACTCAGGCCCGCTTAGGCCAGGGCTCAGGAATTCAATCCATGAGAATGGCTCACCTCTGATCAGTCTTCAATCTGGTGGCAAATGGAAGAATAAGCAGCAGAAAGAAAGCAAGGGGTATCTCTACAGGAGGGGATGGTGCAAAGACAGAGAGACTCTCCCTACATTCTTTCTCTCTCTCTCTCTTTTTTCTTTCTTTCTTTCTTTTTTTTTTTTTTTTTTTGGCACAATCTCGGTTCACTGTAGCCTTCACCTCCCAGACTCAAGTGATCGTCCCACCTCAGCCTCCCAAGTAGCTGAGACCACAGGTGTATGTCATCATGCCCAGCTAATTTTTATATTTTTTGTAGAGACAGGATCTCACTATGTTGCCCAGGACGGGCTCAAACTCCTGGCCTCAAGCAATCTACCTGCCTTGGCCTCCCCAAGTGCTGGGATTACAGGTGTAATCCACCGTGCCTGGCCTATATTCTCATTTTTATGCCAACTTTTCCACCACCGGTTGGCTTCCTTGAGGTTAGGCAGCTGGACAGAGCTGGGAGCAAATAAGCTGTGGTAATAGGATTAAGGAAGAGGGGGATGGTAGACTTTCTCCAAATTCTTCCAGCCTACACCCAGAAGAGCTTTAGGACAGCTGGTGGTGTTGAGACGCCAGGGCAACAGGAGAGGCAATTTGGGAAACCTGAGGCTACCTGGTGTTGTGGCTCCTTCTGGAGCCCTGGTGTTCAGGGCTGGCCCTCACCCTTCGGTGGAGGAAAAGCAGCACCTCAATCAGCTGCTCAGAGAGATCTCAGGTTAGATCAGGTGGGCACAATAGCAGAGAAGGAAGCAGGCAGAGAATAGGCTCTGGGCTGTGGATGGGGGTCAGAGCACTGTCTGAAGAGTGAAGACCTGAGAACCAGGAAAGCTACCTGGGCCCCACCCAGGGTCCCCAAGTGGCAAACCTGCTCCCTGGGGCTCTGCCAGGTACAGGCTCTACAGCCCTCTGACACTTCACTTCTCTCCCTCTTCCCACTCACCTGGGAATGAAGACCCTCTGCTGCCAGTCTGGTCACTCTTCTAATTATATAACAATAATCATAAAAACCACCAACATGTAGTAAGTTCTTACTATGTGCCAGGTGCTGTCTCCTAGCAACCCTAAAAGGTAGGTACTATTAGGGTCTCCATTTCTTAAATAAGGAAACTGAGACAGTGATAAATGGACTGATTCTCCCAACATCACACTCTAGACTGTCTCTGGAGTCCATCCGCTTGACCACCATTCTACATTGCCTCAAAGTAGGGCCTAGGGTTAGGGATCCATGCGGCTGCAGTATAGCACTTAGCTGGCACAGCATCCATGCGGCTGCAGTATAGCACTTAGCTGGCACAGCCCGACCTCTCCCTCTGGACCCTGGCACATTCACTAGGATGAGCTAGGGAGGCATATGAGGATTTCAGCTGAGCTTCAGCCCATGGGCTGTGGTCCTGTGGGGGTTGCAGGGAAGGACATTTAAGTTCAGCCCAAGGACATTTAAGAAGTCCTCCCAAGACCAGACAGACAGGTTTTAGCTTGTTCACTGTGGGCACCAGTTACGGGCACATCCTATGCCCATAAATACACAGACTACTGCTGAGCAGGTGACCAAGAGGGAAAGAGGCCAAGCCTCCCCAGCAATTTCTGAACAAAATGTTTACAAGTGTTGCCTCCTTGACATTGTAAATACTGTAAATTCTAAGATATTAATCATGACTGGATTTAAATCTAAAAGTTAAATTACATTTCCATATGGCAAAGAAGTGAAGATTGAGAAATCTACCTCAGAAGACAGGAGAGTTTTGTTTATAACCATTTGGGAGTGGGGCAAATGGTGGTGGTGGTGTTTGATCCAGGCTCTATGTTAGCTAACATGTCCTAGGTCCCTGGCTTACTCACCCTTCATGCCCACTCAGGCTCCAGATGTCCAGGTTCCAGGAGTCACAGAGGACTGAGGTCCTCCCTGCCTGCTCTGGATGCTCCCTGCCTGCTCTGCCCACTCCCGATCACCTCCAGAAAGCAGGAGCAGAACACAGCATGGGAACCAGCATGAGGGTGTTGTGGGAAAGGAGCAGAATCCTGTCTCCAGTGATGACCCATAGATTCCTCCTAGAAGCATGATACCATGAGGCTAAGAGGCATGAGACTAAAGACAAATTCAGGATCTAAATCCTCACCCTCGGCCCCACTGAGGCCATCTGAAGAAGGATGGTGGAAAGGAGGCGTCAGATGATATTGGTGGATTGACTTCTGCTATGGCCTGGCCTCTCATTCCTAAACCTTCCCATTGAGAAATACTTCTTTCCTGCATGTAAATGTAATGTGCAGAGGGTATTTACTGCCCAAATGATGACAAGCAGAAATACTAGAGAGGAGAGGCCTCAAACACATCCAAGGAGCCAGCAGGTACTGGTTTAAAGATTTGATGGGGGTGTACATGCCTGTCAATATTCTGAGTCATTCTTAGGTCAAGGGAGCAACAAGCCCAGGTCCTCCCATTCCAACACTCTAGAGGGCTCTAGACAAGTCTTGTCATCTCTCCATGTCTTCACGCCCCTTGTGCATGGTAGCTAGCTATTGTAATAACTACTGCCCCTGGTCATCATGTAATTATGAGAACTGAGGAGGGATCAACGTGTCTGAAAATTAAAGAGCTGGGAAAATACAAGATCCTCCTAGAGGTTCTCCAAATTATCTTGAGCTTGGAAATCAATTATCTCTGAAGGTTTATAAGGCTTTAAAGGGATAATTCTCTTTCTTCCTTTAATAAAATATTGTGGGTAAGAAAGAGGTTTCATCCTTCAGTAGCTAGTTAGTTGTAAACATCCAGGAGGTGAAAATTAAATTGAAATGAATACACGCTTTAAGGGTAGCTGAATGGATGGATGGATGATGGATGGAATAATTCATTCTCAGGATATAAAAATGACAATGCTGATTCACTTCCACAGGGTAAGTGTTTAACATTCTTTTTTTTTTTTTACACGAGTCTCACTTTGTTAACTGGGCTGGAGTGCAGTGTTGCAAACTCAGTTCAGTGCAGTCTCCACCTCCTGGATTCAAGCAGTTCTCCTGCCTCAGCCTCGTAAGTAGCTGGACTACAGGTAAGCGCCACCATGCCTGGCTAATTTTTGTATTTTTTAGTAAACTCAGGGTTTTACTGTGTTGGCCAGACTGGTCTCGAACTCCTGACCTCCAGTGATCCGCCCACCTTGGCCTCTCAAAGTGTTGGGATTACAGGTGTGAGCCACTGTGCCCAGCCTGTTTTGCATTCTCTTCTGAGTGGCAGGTATTGGCTTGCCACTGATGAGAGGCATTTGTAGAACTGCTCAGAGTCTACCTGGAGATCACTTCCTGCCTACTCAGCCTGGCACACCATGGCCTTTTGAAATACCATCACTAATCCTGAGTTTCCTTTTTTAACTCCTTTTTTCCAGCTACCAGGTCATATAGGACTGGTGAGACTCACATGCAGAAACCCTCATATAATGGAAGAAGTCAAGATTGTGTATGATTTCTGGACCTCTGACTAAATACCCAGCCCCCCACACACATACACCCTGTCAAGACAGCATATACAAATGTAGAAATAAGAATGTTGTTGTTAAAGGATTAGTCTTGGTCCTAATTTATATTCTTAAAAAGCAAATCACTTGCCGGGTTTAACACTTAAGCTAATTTCATAACAAATCCTGACATCAAGGTGAGGCTACCCCATGGTGTAGTCAACTGTATCTACAATTCATTTGCAGAGAAACCCGGAGGAACCTATAGGCATGGAGGGTAGGCATGCAGTACCATGTCCCACACACCCAGACAGGCCTGGCTAACTCAGGCTGACCTTACCAGAACGGACTTTTGGTTGGCCTGGAGCCTGGAGATGGCATTTTCATTCAACTTGAGTTTCCGCTCCAAGTCTAACTGAGTGCGCTGGAGTTCAGCCTAAAAAGCGGAAAGTAGAGAATTAAGGAGGAAGGAGCCCAATGCACACAGAAGGACACAGGCACTCCCCACCCCTGACATCCCCACCCTTCTTCCCTGGAAAGAAGTCTAACCTCTGCAGCTGATCTCAAAAGTCAGCCAGGAGGCACAAAGCATGGGCAGTGAGCCCGTGCCCTCCTGGGGCTGCAGTCAGCATGAGTCAGTGAAAACGCAGTTAGCACATACTCTGTGCTGCTCACCATTTCAAGCATTTTATAAATTACCCCACACCATCCTTGCCATACCTATATTAGCTGTAAACCAAAAGTGAAATTCTAAACCCACCAACCATCCGAATGGACCCCTCCTTGCAGCAAAGGGCATTCCAAAGTTAACCTGAAAAACTAGTTCAGGCCATGATGGGAAGCGGGGGTCAGACATGCCTCATTACACCCTCCTCCCTTTTGGAATTACTGATAGAGCGCACTCTTGAAGTCTGATAAGAAACATTTACAATCTGTTCTCTCCAAAACCTCCTACCTGGAAGCTTTACCCACATGATAAAACCTTGGTTTCCACCACTTCTTATCTTAACTCAGACATTTCTAAGTCTTTAGACAATAGCTTGACTATTTCAGCCAACTGCCTTTCAGAAAATCTTTGTATATCTACCTATGACCTGGAAGCCCTGGCTTCCAGTTGTCCCACCTTTCTGGACCGAACCAATATATATCTTACATGTATTTGATTGATGTCTCACGTCTCCCTAAAATGTATAGTAGGCTGTGCCCCAACCACCTTGGGCACACATTCTCAGGATCTCCCGAGAACTGTGTCACAGACCACTGGTCACTCATATTTGCCTCAGAATAAATATCTTCAAATATTTTACAGAGTTTTCCTCCTTTTGTCAACATAGGTAAAAATGATTATTATTTCAAATCTACAGGTGATAAAATCAAGCCATGCTTCCAAGTTCATCAATGGAGTTGAGCCTAGGCTGACCCCACAAGAGCCTAACAGAGAGTGTAGGCTTGAAGCCAGATGGCCAGGTGGGAAGTCTACATTTTTTTTATGTAGCAGTTGAGACTTTGGGCAAATTTACTTATGTATTTGAAAAACAAACTTTCTTTGTCCTGTACTCATACAACACAGAACACTTTCCTAACCGAAACATGTGGGGTTTTTTCCCACATGAAGCCATTCTCCAACATCATCAGGGTGCCCTAAAACATAACGCAATTCTAACACTCCCTGATCGGAGATGGAAGAGATGCACACGGCAAGGGATGTGGGAGGGAGGTGGCAGCTCCATGCCCTCTCCAGGTGTGGGGTTGGCACGCTCCAGGAACTTCCACCCCTTCAGCAATCCAGAAGCTCCTGGAAGCCCAGCCTTTTGGGTTTATATGGAGGCTTCATCGTGTGGACATGATTGATTACATCATTGGCCACTGGTGATCCTTTCAACCTTCAGCCTCACTTCCCCCCCGCCGCCGGAGGTTGGGGAGATGGGGCTGGAAGTCAAACACCTTAATCATAGGGTTGGCTCCCATGGCAACTAGCCCCCATCCTCAGACTCTCAGGAGCCCCCTCAGGCACCCAGTCATCTCATTGGCATTCAAAAAGACACATCACTTCAGAGAGTCTGAGCGTTCTAAAAGCTGTCGGGTGCCAGGAAATGGGGGCAGAGACCAAACCTAAGTTTCTTATTTCACAACTTAATATCTCTAAACTTCCATTTCGTCACTTTTGAGATGGGGATCAATAAACTGTCTGCTTTACGGGATTAGGAAAGAACAGACTAATCAGATAATGTATGTCAGTAAGAACTTTGTATAGTACCAGGGACATTATTAATGAGCTCCATGAATGTCAGTGATTGCCAGCAACGTCATCATCGTCATCATTCCTCCTGCTACCGTGGCTGCTTTCCATTCATGTTCTGTATTCGAAGCCAGAGCCAGCCCAACCAGCCCAGGCAAGTGCCTGACCAAGAACCTCGGGTTTGCCTGCTTTGGCCCCACCTTCAATCTTGCCTCCTGGGATCCACTAAACACCTTCCGCCAAGAGGTGTGCCAAGGCTTACGTAAGGCTTTGCAAACTTCAAAGACCCTGTCACTTTCCTTCTTCCACAAGTCAATATAGAAAAAGAAAAAAAAAAAAAAAAGAATAAATAACTTTCACTGCTTTTAATAGCTTCTGTCTGCATTTCAAGCTGTGAGACATTACACCCTACTAGAACTCAGAGGGCGTAAATTGTCTCTCCATTCTCCACTGAAGACTGAGGGAATTCCAGGTCCCCTGGGAGGGAAGCTGCTGCAGACAGAGGACTTGTCTCTCCAGGACACTCTGCAGAAGGCAGGTAATGTTTGCTCAGGCTCCAGGTCACTGAGAGTGGAGCCAAGGGAGCTCCAGTGACCTCTCACCCTTGATACCTGAGACCTGATACCTGGGAGTGGGAAGTGGGGGTGAGTCTGGCCTATTTGGGGGCAATCCTGGAATCTTGACCTACGAAAAAGGCTTACACAGTGACCCATTCTAGGAGAGAGAAAAGGAACATGAGCTGCTTGTTTAAAGGCAGTGGAAGACACAACAGAGCACACCCTAGCAACAGGCTCCTACAAGGCGGCATCTAAACAGCAGGGACAGAAGAATGTGTTAAAGCAGTCCGCAGCAGCAGGGCCAAAGGGAGGCACCCAGGGAGCATCCAAAGTCAGGGGCTTCTCTCTGCTATTTGCAGACTGCCATATAAGGAGAGGAAAGGACTCTTGAGTACCTAGTGGGGACTTCCTGAGTGAGTCACCCCAAGAAAAAGCACTCCCAATTACCTCAAAAGGTGGAGTCACTTTGAAAGACTTGTTTTTCCAGTTATTCCTGTTCCCAGAAAATGATGGGGTGCCTCAGCCTCTGGCTTCAGGGTTTCCCAAGAAGTCAGCCACACACATATTTCAGGTCAGGGTGGACCCTCAAGATAATGACAAATGTGTCAAAGGCACACTATTAGGGGTCCGAAATATTTTGGGGCCCGCCACTTGCTGGCCATATAGACTTTTTCAAGTCATTTAGCTTCTCATCTGGTGCAAGACTACATAAATATGCTAACAGAAAGGTTCCTTCTGCTACAGGGGAAAGGTGGCATGCAGAGAGTGGCGGCCAGGTCATGTTAGAGATGAAAAAACAAACAGAGGGATTGGGAAGAGAGAAAAAAATTCCCAGACTGTGCCAGTTCCTTCGTATTCCAAGCACACAAGGTTAGCCCTTCTAGAGAAGGCAGCACTAGAGTCACCTGGACGCTGACTGCATTCCTCAGTCAGCTGGTCAAAATTCACCACAGTACATGCCAGCTCAGTCACTTAAGACACACGCTCCACTCTCTCAAAATACTTACAGCCTGGGAGAATAAGAAAAAACAAGGTATGTAATACTGAGTCCAGGGCATTCCTCAAAATGGCTGAAAGAAATTATTATTATTATTATTATTATTTTGAGACAATCTTGCTCTGTCACTCAGGCTGGAGTGAAATGGCGTGATCTCGGCTCACTGAAACCTCTGCCACCTGGGTTCAAGTGATTCTCCTGCCTCAGCCTCCCGAGTAGCTGGGATTATAGGTGCCTACCACGACGCCTGGCTAATTTTTAAATGTTTTTAGTAGAGACGGGGTTTCACCATGTTGGTCTCGAACTCCTGACCTCAGGTGATCCACCCACCTCAGCCTCCCAAAGTGCTGGAATTACAGGCGTGAGCCACTGCGCCCAGACCAAGAATTTCTTTTCCCAAGTGGCTACATACACATATTGTCCACCTTTGGGCTACCAGCAAACAGGCTGTGAGTGATGCCGGTTAACTGCTCTCCAGATGAGCTTGGATACTTTTGGCTCTAGAGACTTGGCTCTTGCTCACCGTGGAGACTTTGTCTGCAGTCAGCATCCAGTCCTGAACTTTCTGTGACCGATGCTGAAGTTCAGTGTCGTGGCCTGCCATTAATGCTCTCCAAAGATCTAGGATAAGGCTCAGTTAGGTCTTGTTGTCTCTAGGAACTTGCCCTGGCCTCACTCCCTCACTCCCAGGGTTGGCTCCAAAGGTGCAGTAGTTGCACTATACCAGCCTTTTGGCACTCCATGGAGTTAGGGTATGTGCTTCCTAATTAGAGTCCAAGCTCCTGGAGGCTAGAGAGTGTAGCCCAGCACTTAGCCCGTAGGAAGCACTCAGTAACATTTGATACGCCTGAGAAACAGGAATGAACCATACCTTCTCCATGGATCAGAACAAACAGGAAAGGAGGTCATAGAAGGAGTTCAAATTTCACACACACACACACACACACACACACACACACACACACACGTATCATTTCCACATAGCAAACCTGAGATTCAGAGAAAGTGAGAAGACTTCACAGCCAGCAGGCAAGACCAGCTGCTCTTAAAACCAAAGGGTCCTGGAGATGCAAAAGGAAGTGCTGGGATCACTATGAAAAACAGCTAGGCTCTGAAAGCTCAGCAGGAGAGAAAAGATAATCAAAGAACACTGCCTCTCAAAGCACCCAGTGTCTGCCCACCAACATGGCTGGAAACCGTAGGAGCTTCAGAAAGGGCTCGCTTGGTTATTGAGAAATGAGTCGTTCTGTGGACCCTAAGCAGGATCTTGCCACTTTGTGTCCTCGTGGCCGACCCTGACATTTGCAGTTTCCTATACACAGCATGCCTGCCTGAGTAATTAGCCCTTCACACGCTGCAAAGTGACCTTCAGCGAGAAACTCCAGCAGGGAGTACTAGGCTTTAGGAGCCTTAGTTATGTCTGATGACTTTCAAAATCATCCTGGTGGAGGCTGCAGGCTTGTCAAGGTACTGTGTCTTCTAAGCTGATCTCCTGAGCTCCTTGCAAGAAACCTTTCAGCTTCTAAGATTTGGGGGAGCCACCGAGAGGGTTACACTTACAGAGTAAACTTGCTCTCCAAGCTGAAAACAAGGACACAGGACAGGAAGGACAAGAGCTCTTTTAAGCAGACCAGAAAGCAGAG